GCGGGGCCTACTCACGAGTCCGCCCCCGACCAGGACCGCGCGACCCTCCCTCGCGCCCTGCGCACCGCCGCCTTCGCTTCGACGGCTACCGCCTCTGTGAGGTAACCTTCAGTTCCTCGCGAAGAGCCAGCCGAGGGCTGAGGAGACTCCGCCTGGCCTCCCTCCACCCGCGGCGCCTTCGGGGGTCGTGCGGGCTAGTACCCTGGGCTCTCCGGGTTCTGCTTGCCCTTCTGGTCTCCTATCCACTCTGCGCCCTGACGCCTGCATGGCGTGAAGGCAAGTTCTAGACCAAGGGCTTCGCTGGGAGGCAGGGACCAGACAGAAAGGGGAACTTTGCGTTCATGGACGAGTCGTCATCCTTCTTGCTGTAGTAATTACAGGCATTTTAGCTGTGCAGCTGCCCTGCTATATTTAAGGTAGTTTGGTTAGAACTCTTTTCTGGCTGAGCCTGTGGCTCCTCAGAGCAGAGACTGCCTCCTGTTGACGACAATGACCCTGCCTGACAGGGACTATGATGTTTGGCCCAAAGGAGAAGAGGCTCCAGGGATGTTGACCAAGAGGAATGAAAGCTTGAAAGCCCAGGCTTTCTATTTCTGTGACACTTCTGATCAGGGACTTCTCTGATACAAAGCATAATCTTTGACCAAATACAAATATGGAAAAAGAACATTAACTTCTGAGGAACATCTTTCTGCCCTTTTATGTTGAAGTGCCACCAAAGTACTGGTATTGTGAAAGCATCAAACAGGCCAGAGGAATATGAGATATTCCTACTTTTTTATTAAAAGAGGCCTAAAAAATTACTCAGGAACTAATTGTGAAGTTATATATTGACTAGGTCCCTTACTGTCTACTAGGACTGGGGAGCATGATTTCAGTCAAGTTTTATGAATATTTAAAATTTTTAATACTGATGTTCGTAATTGTCTAATCACAGTTCATAACAATAATTTGTTTAAACACTGATAAATACACAACACCAAGATTATACTGTTCTAGAGCTAAGGCTACCAATTGGTCAATTTGAAGAGTATATTGTTATTTATACTAGCACCATTTTAGAAGATGTGGTCCAGATTTACAGCAGTACCATATTCAAAACAAAAACCACAGATGAGAACTTGAAGCCTAATTTCAAAATAATTTTAAAAATCACCATGCCTAAATATTGAAACAGATACAGTATGTCCTAAGTATTATATCCTAATCCCTTTCTTTTCTCATTAACTCCTGTTCCACACAGTGGCTGCTTTTATGCCTTTGAAAAATTGCCCTGTTCTTCTTTTAGCCCTGTCTGTACAGAGATCTTTTCTCCCTAGTTCTTTTTCCCTCCTAAGTCAAAATAACAAAATCAAACAAAATTGATTTAATAATTCAGGACCCACCCCTTCTGGAAGTGGGAAAGGGAAGTTCTTTTGGAATGAATATTTGGGCCCACCCAAAATTCACACGTTGAAAGCTGAATTCCTAATGTGATATTATTTGGATGTGGGGACTCAGGGAGGTAATTATGTCATAAGAGTTGCACCTCATGAATAGGATTAGGAACCCTAAGAATAGACACCAGGAGACACGATCACTTTCTCTGCTTTTTGCCAGAGGCTACAGGAAGACAGACAGCAAACCAGGCAGTCTCATCAGATACTGGTGACTTGCTGGCAACTTGGTCTTCAACTTCCCAGCCTCCAGAACTGTGAGAAAGAAATTTCTGTTGTTTAAGCTGCTCATTATATGGTATTCTGTTATAGCTGCCTAGACTAAGAAACACAAGTGATATAGTTATATATTAATTTATATTTCTCTTTCATAGATAATTTAGAAACTAGATGAAACTGTACTTTCTAGACTTTTTTTTTTTTTTTTTTTTTTTTTTTTTTTTTTTTTTTTTTTTTTTGGTGCCAGGATCGAACTCGGGTCCTTGCACTTGTGAGGCAGGCACTGGAACCACTAAGTTAAATCCCTAGCCCTTTCATAGCTAATTTTAAATGTTCACAAATATTGTCTATTAATAGGGATAGTTGGCTTCAATATAAGTGATTTCGTTCTAAAATGAGCCACCATGATAGGGCTGAGGCTTATAATCATATATATCCTGTGGTTGTATCCCTAAGTTATAGAGAACAAATGTCATACTTGATCAACAAAATCTATGAATAGCTTTCAAAATTATATTTTTAATAAGTTACTATATCTTTCAAATCTTTTGTTCCTTTGAGCTCAGAGAATTTCAGCATTGAAAACAGAGCAGTCTCAAGATACATCTTCTTGATCCAAATGTCTAGTTTGAATTTTAATACAAAACCATCATTTTTATAGTGGACCAGAGAGTTCTGTTATATAACATCTGGGTACAGTGTATAGTTATCGGGGGTCCTTGGTAGTCAAGCGAGTGGGATCTTATAGAGATTTTAATTCTAACTTTTTAACTTTTTAATTTCTAAAAACATTTCAATACCTTTGTGTCAGCTTTTCCTCATTATAATGAAATTCTGAGATCATTACCTTATAAAGAAAAAAAGGTCTATTTTAGCTCAGAGTTTTGGAGGGTGCAGTTTAGGATCAGGTGGACTCATTACATTAACCTTCTGGTGGGGCTGGTGGATGGCAATGATAGGGAGCACATAGTGAAGTAAACTGCTCACCTGAGGATTAAGAAGAAAAAGGAAAGAGGCCAGGGTCCAACAGTTCCCTTATCCCTCTTTAAGGGCATAATGAGCCAAGGACATCCCACTAAGCCCGCCTTCTAATGATTCCATCATCTTTCAGTAGCTCTACCCTGAGACCAAGCTTTTATACACAGACATTTCTGGGATATTTAACATGCCAATTATAGCAAAGTTTCTTCTTATTTTCCCAGGATTTAGCCATTTACCTACATTAAAATAAACTGCATCTTTGCTATAACCTCTTAAAGATCCACAAACATGCAATGATTTTAAAAAATGTAACCATAAAAAAATTTGTAATCTTTGTTATTTTGTCCATTATATCATGCAGTAAAGCTGATTTCCAAAAGTCAGTGCTTTCTTAATGAATGTGGCAGTGTAAACAGGGCATACCAACCTCCTGTTTTGAGTTGTATTCACTTAAAAAAACTTTTCTCTACCTCAATGAGGCTGCAAATGAAGCCCATCTTTTCCAGAAGAAAATATTTTTATTAAATTTCCCAGACCCTTTATTGGTAAAGTTAAAGTTTGTGTGAATTACATTAGGATAATACTTAAGAGGGCTAAACACTCAGGTAGAGCTTCACGTTGGAAACCCCTAGTATAAAATTTCCCTGCTTGGCAGGAGTGGTGCCATTGTTGCTGAGGTCCTTTGACAATACTCTCATGTTCTCTAAACCAGCAGAGAATTAGTGAGAGAGAGAGAGAGAGGTTAATTTATTTTAAGCAATTGGCTTGTACAGTTGTGAGAATTGGCAAATCCAAACTCTGTAAGGCCAGCAGGCTGAAAACTCAGGCAACAGTAGAGATTGTAGTCTACAGGCCAAAAATCTATAGATATAATTTCTATATTATAGTCTTGAGGCAAAATTTCTTCTTCTCTGAAAAACCTTATTTTGCTTTTATGGCCTTCAACTGGTGAAGGCCAACTTCACCAGTCTAGGAAGTACAGTTTCACACCAACTTATAGACTAAAGTTTGGCAAAAAAAATTGGGCACCATAGTTTAGGAAGCTTACACATTAAGTCAACCTTCAATATTATTTTCTTTTTTTTTTTTTTT